TGTCCTGATGTGTAAAAATAATAATAAATAATAAAATTCACAATATATTCTTTAGTTTTATAATGCCACCTAAACTGGCCATAAAGGTTCTAGAAAAGGCCTCGAAAAAGCCCCTGGACCATCAGTTGATAATCACAGTTATAGCTTATTTTGCGGCTCTGGACACATTTTATAAGTGAGACCAGTAGCAGAAATGGCTCTTGATTGTAAAGGTTGCAAAACCCTGATTTAGGCATTAGCAGTCATCAGGCAACTTCTGAATGCAATTGGTTGCGCTCAGAGGTTGCTGAATACTTTTGCACACTGCACTTTTAATTTTTTTCATTTGCAAAAAATTTTTTGAATCATGTATAATTTTCTTTCCACTTCACAATTGCATACCACTTTGTGTTGGTCTTTCACATTAAATTCCAATGAAATGTATTTATGCTGTGGTTATAATGCGACAAAATATGGAAAAGTTCAAGGGGTGTGAATACTTTTTGCAAACCACTGCAACTATGCTTAAATTTCAAGCAGTATATTTTTTTAAGTTGACTATTTTTGTTGTGATCTCACAGGGGATACTGCTATTGGACAAGGAGTAGTACGCTTCTTCTTATCAACGTGCATGGAGAAGCTGGTGTCTGGGTTTTGCATTAATTTTGGTGAGTTTTTATTTAGTATACGATATTTATGTTTGTGGTGTTCATTGTTTTCAAAGCAATTCATAGTGTAATTGACTTATTCCTTGTTTTGAAAAACTTAGTACTTATTTGAAGGTAATTTGTTTTTTCTTCTCATTTATCACATAGCAAACTCTTCTGTTACCCCAGTTTTTGAAGGAGAGCTGGGCCACTTAGTCCCACCAGCATCTCAGTTTCTTGTGGACAGTGACATGTTCCTTATGGCCAGGAGAATGGTAGGACACTCCTTTCTTCATGGAGGACCGTGCCTATCTGGACTTAGCCCAGCTGTTGTACATGTCTTGCTCGGTGGAAGTCCTGAAACTGCCACAGTTACACTTCTGGACTGTCCAGACCTGGACATCAGAGGGACAATCCAGCTTGTATGTTTTTATTTCATGTTTATATTGATCAAAATTTATACACTGGCCTTAATGAGTCACAGACATTTGTGTGTTGATTATCTACACTACTGTACTCACAATTGTTATCAATCAAATTATCTTCCACCTGAGATTTGGTCTAAGGCTTAATTTGAAATAGTTTTTTTTTACACCATTTCCTTGTGTGTATAAGGAATTTAAATTCCCATTTTTTTCTGAACTGTTTTCTAATTTCACAGCTTGAAGGGGAAACCAAGC